GAAAGGAAGATGATCTTGTAGCTCAGGAGACAACACAGGATGTTTTATTAGCAGTTTTTCATAGTCAACAGCACATGGATGAGAAACTCTTTGTAGTTGAAAGCTACCTGTTGCTTTAGATAAGAACTCCCAGCTAAAATGGTTAATCTTTCTGTGGAGCCCTCAGCTTTGTTTATTCTGTTGTCCCATCCAGGCTTTTTCCTCTAATAAATCTGTGGGTTCCTGCATTTTGTTTGTTGAGTCTTGTCAATTAGTGAGTTCTTTTGTTTTATCTCTGAGTCTCTGTTATGTGGTGAATGTGCTGACTTTGCTAGTGTGAGTTAACTTTGGCCTGTAGCTTTAACAAGGGCTAGCTTAAACTAACTTAGTCTACATATGCTTCTAATGCTAATTTGGTTTATACTAACTTAATCTATATGTTAATTTTGGCTTAAAAACAGACAGGTGGGGAGTCTTAAACTTCCTGGTCCTCCTGTCAGTCTTAGGGAACCACATTCCTACAAGATCACTAATTGGCTTTATTGCAATAGTTGGGGGTGATGTTTTACCCTTGCAGGGTACCGTAATAACAGTAAAACTCACGGCAGAGAAATTGAATACCGGCCAGTTCAAGGACACAAGGGAGAGCTCGTAAACTGGGCCTTGCCTCAGTTTCTTCCCAGTCCAGGCCTTGCCTTAGAATGGGAGGCAGCATCCTTACCAGCTTGTGTTGCCTGCATGGCCCCGTCATGGTGACCACATGCACCCCATAGTAAAAATTTCTTTAGAAAAGATATTCTTTTACCAGGGCCAGCAGGTGGCATAGTGGTTAAGGTACTGGACTCCCACATGATTGACCACAGTTCAAGTCCCAGACCTGATGGACTTGCTTTCTCTTTCTTTCTCTCTCTCTCTCTGTCTCTTTCTCTCTCTCTGGTAAGTGCATGTACCCTATAGCTAACTTAAAATAATAATGATAAATAAATAATTATTTTTTTTAAGAATATGCTTTTCCCTCAAAGCCAGTTGTTCTAAAATTAATCATATTTATAAAATCCTTACTATATGCCAGCCACTATTCTAGGTATTTGGGTTATATCAGCAAACAAGTCTAGCAGGAGATAAAATAATAATAAATGTAGAGTATGTTAAAAACAGATGTTGGGGGGCTGGCAGGTGGTGTGGGTATTAAGGCACTGGAATCTCACATGGCAAACTGTGATTTGAGTTCTGTACCTGGCTTGCTTTCTCATTGTCCCTCCCTCTCTCTTCCTCTCTCTGGTCAAATTTTAAAAATAAATTTTTAAAAAGAATTGTTTAATTTTATTTTTCATTATTATTATTATTTTTAAATTTGCTGAGGGCAAATGCACTCACCAGAAAGAGAAAGAATGAGAAAACTGTTCTCCAGGTCTGGGATTTGAACTGTGGTTGGCCATATTGGGAGTCTAGCACCTTCACCACCACACAACCTGCTGACCCTAATAATAATAAATTTTTTAAAAATAAATAATTTTTTTAAAAAAAAGTGTTGAGAGAAGTCATTCAAAAGGAGATGAGAGGGATATGACAGCTTATATTGCTATGTGAAATAGAATGATTAGGATTAAGCCATCAAGAAGGAAATTTTTTTGAGAGATTTTTGCTGTAGGGCACATGCATTCACCAGAAAGAGAGAGACAGAGAGATAGAAAGTGAGAAATCACTCCCCAGTGGGGATGGCCACACTGCAATCCCTTCTCCTCCATTCTCCTCTAGGGATCTTGGGGAGGCATGCACACGCACCCAGCATGACTTTTAAGCTACCGGGTCCAGGACTCGAACTGCAGTAGACTATGTGGGAGTCCAGCAACATAGCCATTATGCCAACTGCTGGTCCCAAGAAGGAAAATTTGAGCAAATATTTGATGAAAGATTTCAATAAAGATTCGAAGATTTGTGAGGGAGTACATCAGTGTTATCTAAGAGAAGGGCATTCCCTGCAGAGGAAGAAGCTAGTGCAAAGGACTTACAATGGAACTATGCTGATGTCTTTGAGAAAAAGTTAGAGTTCTGTGCAAGGCTATGATTGATAGGGCAGGAGGCCAGAGAGAGAATTGGGGCCCATATTTTATGAGGCCTCATAAGACATGGTAAGCATTTGCATTTTATTCTGAGGAAAATGGGCAGCCATTGGAGAGTTTTGAGCAGAGGACATGATGATATGTGGCTGTTTTTTTGTTTGTTTGTTTGTTTGTTTTTTAAAAAGTTGGTAAAAGGGGACATGGTGATGACCGAGATTAAAGAGTGGTGGCTTAGTCCAGTGGATAACATGAGAATAATGAGAAGTGGTATCTAGACATGATGGTAAATGTGATGGAGCAAGCAAGATTTGTTTAGGAGTCACATGTCAGCTGTGAAAGAGAAAAGTCCAGGGTGACCGACTCAAAAGATTTTGGTCCTGAGCAACTCAGAGATGGTGTTTCCATTACAATGGATGGGAAAAGCAGCGGGTTTATGGGGGCAGATTGGAGGTACAATGTTGAATATGTTGAACTTGACATATTTTAAAAGCAAAAGCACAAGGTGGCTTTATTATGTAGGTATTTGAATGTAGTTTTACCGTGCTAAATATCATATTAGGTTGGTTGGTATTGCCTCACACTTATTTAAAATCATGAGGCAAGATAAGCTCATTAAAATACCAAGAAAAAAGCCATGGTGCATTCAATATGAATTTAAGGATAAAATGAAAGACTAGAAAAGGAACTAAGAAGTAGGACCAATAAGATGGGAAGGAAACCAAAACAATGTGGAATCACACAAACGAATTAAAAATGTATCAATGGTGTATAGCTTTGTCAAATTACGTAGCATGAGGCTTGAGAATTAGGTAATTTAGCAATATTGATATTATTGGTGATGTTGAAAAGCAGTTTTTTCTTCGTTATTTTTTTTTTTTGGATAGGTTTTCGTTATAGGGCGCGTGAGCTCGCCAGATAGAGAGAGAGACAGAGAGACAGAAAGCGAGAAATCACCCCCAGAGGGGATGGCCACGCCGCAATCCCTTCTCCATTCTCCTCTCGGGATCTTGGGCACGCACACACACACGCCCAGCGTGAGTTTTAATTCACCGGGTCCGGGCCGCGAACCGTGGTCGA